GGCCGGAGCCCCCGCCCTCTCTCCCTTGCCCTGCCCTGGTCGTGGCTTTACGGGATCCGTCAACCTCGATCCGGGAGACCAGGGAGCGCTACCGGCCACCGAGGCACCTTTGCCGAGTTTCACCCAGAAGCACCTGGTCGGCGTCGGCAGAGTTCTCGCGGCCGGGAAGGGGGTTGCACTACTGCATGGTTTACCCACTTCTGACTTATGAAAGGCATTGATTTCGGGGAAACGGCTTGGGGGAGAGGGGCCCTTAACTGGGAGAGCTGCCATATAGTTTGTGGCGATAGGATGCGGTCTTCCCAGTTGTCACGGCAGTCAAAGAGAAGTTTATTTTCATGTCTTAGTTTTGACTGCTAGCGCTGCTGGATGAGACTTCAAACCACATGGCTAGTTTGGAGGTGAGAGGCTGCTTGTTTTTTTTTTTTCTTTTTCCAAACTACATCAGGTACTGGAGTTGGTGCTTATTTACTAGGGCTGACAAAGTAAATAAGATGTTGGATGCTCTTTTCAGCCAAAGGCTTCTCTGTACCACCCTGGCAGTGTAAATGCCTCTTAAAAATGATTTTCATTTTCCCTGAGGTCCTGTTAACACAGGAACTGCAAAACATTTAATCCATAAAAATTGTCCAAACCCAAGAATTACTTAAAAAGTCCAGTAGGCATCAAATACCCTAAGGTAGGAATAGATCTGGACCTCAGAACTTGAATTCAAGCTTTCATAGACTTCCAGTTATATTTGTGATTGATCTGAACCTCCTTCCTACATTATACACTAGCATATAAATATATACTGATATGACCTCCTGAGGCAATGATATTGCTTCTAACTCCTTAACAGAACCTAGTATTTAGGAGCTAGATCTTTTTGGTGAACTTGACTTTGGGAACAAAAGCAAAGCAGTATAAGTATACCAATACCAAGTTCTTGCCTTCCATATAGCAGCCGTAGACTTCTGTTAAGGCCATAAATTGTTCACAACAGAAAATCCTTTTGTTCTTCGCTTCTCATTTAGCCTGGTGAGACCTTAGGATTACTCTTAGTCGTTCTGAGATAATATTTGTCAAATGACCAAAAGATAAGTTAAAAAACAAACTTTGGCATAATCTACTTTTGATGATGCGGCGAGAAGAAGACAGTAGTTGAGGAAACGTGGATATCGTGAAGGACTGCAAGTCAAGAAAAGACAGGTTTGAATTTGCTTCCCTTTTCATCTGCAAAACTTGACTGGGATTTGAGCTACTCTTGTAATAAAAAATAATAAACCATTTTAATGATTAGCAATTCAAGCCAATTTCATGTTAAAAAGTCATGCTCCAAGGTCAACTAAGACAACATAGCTTACACTTCATGCTAAAAATATCTGAGCAGTTGTGGAAGCTGGCCAGGAAAATACTAAAGCAACATGACAAATCTCATAACTCCTGCCCCAAACACTAAATCCATTGCTAACATTTCAGGCTGGGCCACCAGCAGGCCACATTCCTCCTCCTTCGCCGTTCGCCTCTGCAAAGGCATAACTCCCTGCGATGCCCGGGCTGCTCCAAAGCGGTCCCACACTCCTGAGCCCGACGTGTGCGTGGAGGCAAATACCAGGGTAGGCTGGAGCTCAATGGGAAGTGTCAACCGAGCTGATACACTGCTACAGTTCTCCAAAAATATGGCAAGTATCAGCGCGTTAAGACACTACGAGCTGAAGGAACAAAGCTTTCTTTTCAGGCGTGAGCAGAATGGCCCCCATAGAGCCTGTGGTGGGAATCAATGGGGCTTCTGTCAGGCCGCTCTCTGCAGCCACAAATGCTTGACCGTTTCTGGGCTCAGAAAGGAGGCGAAGCGGCAGTCGTAGGAAATAAAGTGGCATATTATGGAAGGACTCATCTCCAGCTAGCAGCATAGATAAAGAAAAATAAAATCCACAAAGTGGCAACTCAGACGGACAGAAAGAACCTACGTTTTCCATCACACGTAATGGAATGTCTGATAGAGCAACATCTGCAGAGGGATCACAGCTGCTGAGGATGAGCGGCAATATGAGTATTATTTTTCAATTGTAAGATGTACTAAGCAGGAGTGCCTTTAAAATAATATGGCTTAAGGCAAGACTGAACCAGATGCACGGGGCTATCCGGCTTCTTCCAACATGAAAGTCCAGCTGTGGAGTTTAAATTCAATAGTTAACACTACAATTGATCGTAGATTCATAACTGATATGAATATATTGTAGAGTTTGCTAAACTAGTTATGTTTTGTTGCATTAACTTGAAAGGTCACAGGAAAACCAATCATTTTACAGAAGCAAAATGACCAAATCTCCTGTGTACCATTGTGCTCACTTACAGCATTTTTAAAACACTCAGAAGCTGAAAGCAGTGGCATTTTGTTACACTAAGCAAGCAATGCTGAAAGCAAGCAATGAACTACATTTCATGACGGAGAATTGGTGGACAAGCATCCACGTTAACAGCCCCAAATTGTGAATGCGATCAGGAGAGGAGCAGGAAACCTTGATTCTTTTTCCCATTTCACCATGTCAGATCTTATGCAAGCCAATTAACCTCTTGCTCAGATCTCCATCTTTAAACTAGATAAACTCAGTAAACTGCACATGGCACTGCGACAATAAATACACAGAGCATTAAGAGGTATTTAAAGCACTGCGTTGCTGGGAGTTGGACAAACACTTAAAATACATCTCTTCCTTGCAGGAGGAACTTGCAGGCTAAGTCCCAGGTATCTGTTGTGCTGTGCAGTTGTTTCCACTCAGATTACATTTGTTTTGTAGAGGTGTGAAAAGCTACTCCTCTAATCTGCTAGCACTTTACTGTTTTAGATGACTAAATCCCACTGTTGGAGCGGAGCAATTAGTCTAAGCTAGTCATCTAGGGTTTCTCTATTGTCAGCAGAGGGAGATTAGTTATACTAAAGAGCATTACCCGCTCTCTACATTGACGACGGAGGGATTAGATCCCTAACTTTCAGCTATACACATTAGGCAAGACGAATCCCACCGACGTGACTGACGCGAAGGTGAGAAATCCTGTGTTTCTCTCGAGCACCGCCAGGCAGAAACGCATGTCCCTGTGCTGACGGCTCTGCCGCAGGGATCCCTGGCACCGCAGTGGCCCTGCCCGTGCAGCTCGGGCACTTCAAGCGGGTCTGGCACCTCCAGATGTAGCTTGGACCTGGCTGCAGGGCATCTCCAGCAACTCAGGTTTTACCCAGACAAGACTTCCAGGTCTGAGGCAGACCTATACCTTATATCCCTACAAAGACTTTGCTAGAAGATGGATCAACCTCAGCTTCGAGTTGGAGTATGCTGAGTCTTTCCAGTGTGCTTGGAGAAAGCAGACAGTCTGCTTAAGTATCTCGTCCTAAAATCTCCTACCAAAACAGCTCATAGACTGCAGTTCTTATGTTACTAGAAGTTGTAGAACATGAAACCTAGCCTTGCTAGAACTAAAATAGGCCAGACAACTTTGCTTAGCAATGTGAATGGCGAGGAGACTCATGACACTTATGCTTCTGCTTTTATTGGGATTTTTGCTCGTTTTTATCTAGAATATATTATTTCATTTGTTTGTCTGTTTCCTCTTTTCGTTATTTTTTTTGTTCATACAGCCTTTAAGGTAGCGGTACAAGGTAGATCAAACTTGGTCTTGGTCTCAAGCAACCTGACATCTAAGAGATTACGTTGACCAGGAGAGCAATAACCATATGGTTACTGGACAGTCCTGCATTTGCTATTTGTATTATGCACGTACATACAGGTTGTTAAGTTTCCTTACTCTTACAGGATATGATAACACAAGACAAAGACACAGTTTGTCACCAATACGTATCTTGATACAACTTAATGGCAAAATCTTATCGATCAATTGTGGAGGCAGTTGGGTGCGTGCCTGCCACACTGTCTTCAGGACAGACACTAACTCTGTACAGACACAGTGTGTATTCATCATACCTGCAGTATCTAAGGGTGTTATCTCTGCGCACAGGAAAAGGAAAATTATTTTCAGACTCCTGCAGTAAAGATACAGAAAAATCATGGTCTTCTGCTTGAAGCATGCAACAGAGAAACAGCTTAACATGTGCTAACAATTTCTTTTGTCTGTTTTGTTTGATCTTTTGGATTATATGCCTGCCTTTCGTATCCGAGTCATGGGGATAGCAATGACCTACAGACCTGCAAAACACAGGCCAGCCTAGGGGATGCAAGAGGTCTTTTCTGGCCTTAATTTTTCATCTAAGGGCATCAAAGGAGCATCATGAAAGTTATATACTACAGACAAAAACCACAGGGGCACAAAATGTTGCAGAAAAGCTGAAGATTAATATTTGGGTAGCAGAGGAATAAAAAGTTTCCTATTTAGAGCATGCAGTGAAGTTCGTACACTGCCTCCATCTGCAAGAAAATATGTGCGCTGCCTCTGCCGTTCGACAGTGCTGACTCTAGGCATCTCCACATCCGGAGGACAGAGGCCCCAGAAGGAACAACCCCATGCTTATTAAATGATGTGCTCTGGTGCTTCCCCCCAGCCTTGACAGGGAGTGGGGAAAGGTTGCAAACCACAAGTTCAAACACACGCTCACTCCCCAGGATGTTT